GAGTACACACTTCTCCATCACAGCCACACAGAGACTGCCCAATGCTTTGCTAAAATCAACATTCGCTGTATATGTGGCATTCCTCCAACCTCCAAGGCCAGTCACCATGGAAAAAATGGTATTTGGTTCATTTGGCAATATTCTTACAAACCCTATGTTAGTTCCTAGACCTCTTCTTTATGTTTTCAAATATGCAATAACCTATTCTAGAATCGTGTTAGGGATCAATTAGTACTAACCTTTTGTGCTCGTAATTTCTACAAGCTACCTTTTTGCCTCTATTGAAAAACAGGACATTAGTCCACTTCCGGTCTGTTCACTGCTCCTGCTCTTGGTGGGGTTGTGGACACGCAGCCATGGGCAGAGGAAGGGCTACCTCAAGATGAAACCACCACCTCACCTCCAGGTCCTTGCATCTCATGCAATCGACTGGGAAGTCACTGGGGATACAGGAAGAAAGGAAATGGCCCCAGAGAGGACAAATGACCCTGGAGAAGTGGGAAGACCTAGCCTGTGCCCATCCCTTAGACTCAAAGTTCCGGAGGTGCTGGGGCCTCAGGTAGTGGTTCCACGTAAGGAGAGAAGGGGCCAGGTGTTTCTGGAAAGATTAAAGCGACTAGGCCCAGGCCTGGCCAGCAGAGTAGCTAGGGACCGACTCCGAAGGAGGAGCAGAATGGGAAGGGGGAGTAGGGAGGAAAAGCACCCCTTTCTCCATCTCCCCTACACCCTATCCCCTAAGGGTTAACCCCCCACTCTCTCCCAGCCCCTTCTCTCCTCCCCCACCCAAACCCCATCTCCCTTTAATCACATCTGATACTGAGCGGCCCAGCAGGAACAAAGAGGCCATTTAGAGAAACGGGGCCGAGAAAGTGACCCCCGCACTCTGGGGCAGCCGCCTGGATGCTGGCACAAAGGCGGCGTTTCAGAGCTGAAATTTCAGCACCCAACTTGATTAAAGGATTCCACAGGCTTGGAGGAGGGTGGAAGGGGGTGCGAAGTCCACTGCTCCCTGAATTAACCCTTCTCCGGGGCAGCAAATGCCCCTCCTGCTCCTGGGGCTGCTCATCACTCCCGACCTGTCCAGGGCGCATCACCCCGGGGGGCCATGGCTCCCAGAGGTCAGGTTAGCCTGGCCCTTCCTCTTCCTGGAAGGGGAGCTGGCAGCGGAATGGAGTTCAAAGCTGAAATACGCAGGGAGCCAACCCTCCCTTCTCTCTGCGGGTGTCAGTAATCACTCTGCCCCCACCCAAGGGAGGGAGGAACTAAGGTGACTGGTTGTACCGCAGGTTGGGTAAGCAGGGTGAGGACAACAGGACCCATTAGGACCTAGGGCAGAGAGGATGAGCTCCAGCCCTGATTTAACGTCACACCTGGAACCCAGGAGCCCTGCTTCCTGGCCCACCATCATGCCAGCACCCATCCCACTAGAGGCCTCGGGGGATCACAGGCCCCACCCAGAAGGGAAAGGACATCTTCCAGAGGCCCGGAAGGAGAGGGTATGGGTGTGGCATACCAGAGAGGCAAACCGGAGGGCAGTGTGTGGGCAGTGGCCTAAGGAGTCGGGACAGCAGGGCGGGGTGGGCAGGTGCTCAGTCCTTGCTCCACAGCTGCTGACTTGTCCGGCAGGCCTCTGCTTGGGGAGGGCTGGAGATCACCGAGTCCCCAAGCTTCCTGCTGGGGCACTGCTTCTGAAAGGGGATCCGAGACCATGATAAGAGGCTCGAGGCAGGTCCTTAGAAAACAATGGGTGGCTTGATGAGACCTGCTCTGTGATACTCCTGAGAAGGGAGAAGCCCCTGCAGCCAGTCCCACTGGAAAGGAAATTGGGGGTTTCCGTGGCAACCAGCTCCCTGGGCACAAAGGCTCGTCTGTCTGCTGGGAAGGCAGCTGAGGTGTCTCCCTGCAGCAGCCTTTACTCTGGTGAACGGGGAGATGTAGGGAGGGATGTGGGGTATCCGCAGGGAGTAAGGGCCCCTGGTGCTTCTTAAAGAGCTGACAGTCACGGGGCCACTTGGATGGGTGCCTCCTCCAGGCAGCAGGGGAAAAGCAGGTGGGCAGAGAAGATAGCTGGAGGCGGAGGGGGTGAAGAGGCTGAGTTTATTATTTACATGTAGAAAGAACGTGAGAAGTTGGGGATGAGGCGCGTGGGGAAGACGACTCCAGCTCAGTCGGTGATGATGAGCTCGTCCACCCCCCAGTCTTCATAGCTCCCGTCCGGCAGGTATCGCCGAATGATGATGGGGATCTTTCGGGCCCTGTGGCAGGGGAGAAGTCACAATGCATGAGGGCTGGGGACCCAAGCTCTACAGCAGGAGGAACAAATTGTGTACAGAATGCAGGGAAAGAAAAGTCTTAGGAGCATCCTCTTGGGGCTATGAGTGCACTCTGCAGGAAAGTAATTATAATAAAAAGAAAGTTCTTGCATCCCTAATGCGGGACAGGGGGTACAGAGAGCTCTGCCATCCCACGCTGACGGGAGGAGGGGGAAGAGAGTGTGTGTGTCGGGGGAGGGGCGGCGGTATTGGTAAGGCCAACTGAAGCAGGAACAGGGAATCCTGACAGCCAGGAGAGGCCCATGTCTCATCTGAGCCCTCCCCTTTGCTGCCCCTCCACGCCTTCCCTCCTCCCTCCTGGTGGGCTGAGGCCTGAATGAGCTAAGGATCCACAGAACAAGCACCACTTCCCCAGCCAGGAAGTGGGGGGTCAGGGTGTGCACCAGAGAAAGCCGAGGATGCCTCCCAGGGCTCTGGAGCAGTGAACCGTGACCTGGGTGACTTACTTGAGCTCCTTCATGGCGATGAGCAAAGGATCTGTCTCCCCCTCCAGCTCCACCATCACGGGGGCACACATCCTGTGGGTATAGGGACAGGTGTTGAGGAGACTGCAAACATGGGGAGAAGGGTCCAGCAGGAAGTCGGGGAGAGCTTACTTCACGAAGAGGATTGGATCGGCACCCCAGTCCTCTCCTAGAAAGGTTACCAGGCACGGTGGGTGGGGCACTGACAGCAAGGGCACGTGAGTGGGAGCCAGAAGACCGGATTTAAATTTAAAATAGTGTCCAAAGACACTAAATTCCTCTCCAAATATCAGTATCCTCATTTAAAAATGAAGACAAAAAGCCCTGCCTCTGCTGGATACGGCAGAATATTCCAGCACAGAGAAAAAGCATGTGCAAAGGCTCGCCCCTGACCATGCTAACTCAGTGGCCCCAGGCCCTGCCTCAGGGCCCAGCTCCCGGGGTCCCTGCCCATCTTGGCAGCACACCCTCAGAAGGCCAGCTCTCACAGCCTCCACACGGGGCCTGCGTCAGGTGCTCACCCACTTACGACCCTCCACGATGCCCCACGGCCAGCCGGCAGAACCCAGTCTGGCCCCGGCTCACCTTCCTAGTACCTTCTCATGCCACTTGCCTATATTTATCCCCACGTTCCCACCACACCAAACTCCTACGGTTCCCTGGACAGACGCTGTTGTTTACTTTCCGCATCCTCTTACGAGCTCTTCCTCTCCCTACAGGCCTAGGTGAGGCCCCAATGCCTCCACCCTGGAGAACATCTGCTGGCTCCTCAGCGCCTGACTCATTCACATGTGCTTCTCCTGGCGCCGCTCTCACTGTACTGTAACTACTTGTTTGATGTTCTCCGTGTTAGACCACGAGCTCTTGGTGGCCCAGGACCATGTGCCCTGGCACAATGCTTGACCCACAGGAGGGGCTCTGCACACAAATGGGCGGGGTGCCAGTTTTAGGCCCACCTCCTCTAGGAAGCCACTGCATTAAGTTTACACCAATGGATCCCGGAATTACTAGGAGAGCATGACAAAAATTCAGGCTCCCAGTCCTTCCCCAGACCTTCTGAATAGAATCTCCAGTGAAGGAGCTTGAGAACCCGTATATACAAAGCTCCCTGTGTGATTCTGGTAACCAGCCAGTCTGAGAGCCACCAGTTTATACTGAATAATTTACCAATTTTATTATTAAATATTAGGATTTGTTAATCCCAAAGGCCTAAAAATTTCCCAAGGGCAGAGACCAAGTGTATAATTTTCCCTGTATCTTCTCTCAATAAGTATTTAAATTTCTCCAAATTTAAAGCTTTAAAGAAGCTTTTTGTGGCAAAGTGCTTTTCCTGATCTGCATATGCCTTCTTTAAGATATGAATAATTCGAGAGCATTTATTTACCCAACCCTACTATGTGCACACAATGTGTGAAGTGTGACAGTGTGCCCTTGGGTCATCTGTCTGCACCAGAACCTCCACAAATGAACCCGGCCAAGATCCTCAGGGAAGTGGCTGTGGTCCATCCACGCCAGCCGCCAGGTGGTGCTAATGAACTGGACAGTGAGATTTCATCCAAAAACTGTCTAAGAAATGTTTGTTCACTTAAGTGCAGGGTTGCATGCCTAGTGTTAGGGATAGGCTACAGCCCTGGCTGTCCACTGGCTCACAGCAGGAGAGCCGCCTAGCCCTTCGCTGGAAGGAGCGCTATAGACCCAACTAAGTGGGATTGAGCCTTAAAGGAAAAGCAGGATGCTGGCACCTGGTAGGGGTCTGAATGTCTGCCTCCAAACTTTTAAGTGCTCCACACTGCCCACCAAATGCAGGTCAATCTTCTGAACTTGTCACTCAAGGTTCCAAAGACAACTCTTCCAGTCTTGTGCCCCAAGCTACTTGCCATTCCCCCATGAGCCACACTTGCCTCTGTCTTCCTGGACCTTTCCTTGTGCTGTTTCTGACCCCCAGGATACACTCAAAACCACCTCCCTTTCCCTGTCCCTACCTGAATTCTAACCTCCTCATGAGGCTTTCCCAGTCAGCCACGCGATTACTTCCTTCTCTTCTTTGCGCCTCTTGTAAAGCACCATTCCTGTCCACCATGGGTTCCAGGTATTTGTGAAGGGGCCCATTCCTCCCACCAGGCCGTAAACACCTGGAGAACTGGGGGATGTGTCTCTAATCATCTTTGCATCCCCAACAGGTGCAAGCGCAGTGATAAGCCTGGAAATGTCTTTTACCTACATTTTCCATTGTAAGTACCAAGAAATGTGCCTAATGAGACTGAACTACCGCACTTTAAATTTTATTTCATTGTACTTAATTTAAATAGCCACATGTAGCTAGTGGCTACCATAATTGATGGTGCAGGCCTAGAGGCTCCTGACCCCAGGGATACCAAACATATTACACCAAGTGCGGCTCTAGTTTCTCCCAGCCCAGCAAGGAGCGCGACCAGGCTGGCAAGACATCTACTGCTGCGCAACAGATGAGGAACGGTGTCGCCCGCCCATACGACCCCTTATCAAGGTGGACACGTGGTCAGCTTCACCCCACAGGACTGGAGATCAAGTCCAATGCTGACTGAAAACTAGGGAGGGGAATGCAGAGTCAGCATCACTGCTCCAGCACACGAAACTCCACAACTCTGGCCCCGGCTTCCTTTCCAGCCTAGATTCCACTATTCCCTACCGGAAGCACCCTGACTTCCAGATACCCACTATTTCCGACACCAGCGGAGTCTGGGTAAGGCTGCTTTCCTCGGCCTCGCGTTTCCCCGGGGAGACCTTCTATGAACGCAACAGTGCCACACCTGCCCTCTCTGTCCCTTTACTTCTCCCCAGGAAGGAGTAACATTGGACAGGGGAAACAGGAAAAAGCAAGCATCCGTGGCCTAGCCTTTTCGAGGGTCCCTGCTTTCTCGGAGCCACCTACCTGCAGAGAGGGCACTTCTGAGGCCCACGACCTCAGCAGGCAGGCTTGCCCCTGCAGACAGTCTCTGGAAGCCTGCATTGCCCGAACACACAATCATCGGACATTCTCATCTCTGCCTGTCTACTGGCTACCTCTCGAATCCTGTTATGCTTCAAATGGTTCCAAACTTGAGAGAGAAAGATTGCTAATTCAAATCCCCAGAGCCCCACCACTGCTCTGTGTTGTCATATCTCTAGCATGGCCTGGATGTGGAGGCTGGCCATAGTCTACTACCTTGAGTCAAGAACCACCTGAAGCCCAACAGGTGCTGTCACAGCACCCACAACTAACCAGGCCACAGTGGTCGAGGGCTCTCTGAATCCACACTTTTTTTTGCCTCACTAAACTGACAGGCGGTCATCGAGTTCAGTATTTTTACTGTTATCCTTCTGTACTGTTATCTGGCTTCTCAGATATTCGTGTCCTATTTCTCCTGTTGGATCTGACTCCGAGGGGCCTGGTTTAGCAGAGCGCCTGGCACGCAGCGACAGCACCCCTCCTTGTCTAGCACGTGAGAGCAGGAAGAGTCTGCTTTCAGGTGCCAGGCTGGGCCACATCGACAGCCTGGAGGCTCACTATGGCCTGAGTGATGGAAAAGACAGCGAAGGGGCACACACTCACGCGATCTGGAGGGCTCGGGTGCCCAACACGCGGGCTCGCTCATACTTGGTCATATACGGTGTGGTGATTCGTTTCTGGTTGGCCTGCGGTCGCTCTCCAGAGGGGAGGATTTCAACATTCTCCTGGCCCTCCTGGACACCATGGCAGAAAGAGGGAAAATCTCAGGGTACATTATTGAGAGGGAGGGGGAAGATGACTATGACAATGATTATAACCACCACTACCACTACTGCTTAATACATGCCAATGACATTGCAACTGCCTTACTGACACCTCATTTCGTCCTCGCAATAAACTTATGACATAGGGATCACAGTGCCCATTTTATAGGCTCGGAGAGTTAGCTAACTTGGCCAAAGTCTCAGACCTAGTAAAAGAGAGGAATCATGATCAAGATTACAAAGCCAGCTGCCTCATTCAGAAAAGAGAAGCAAAGGGTCCGGAGACAGGGCAGTCCCAGAACGCTGGCCCCATACAAAGAAATCCTTGAACACAGACAACAAATCACCCTAAGCAGGGAGCGAGGAACAAGCTTGGAGACAGGGTAACTAAATCAATAGGTCAAGTGACTAAAAAGTCAGAGCGAAGACAGGAACTACTTATTAAGCCATCTGTCATGTGCCAGACATCAGAAGAGGCTGTGACAGAAAATCAAGAGTTTCTGCTCTCAAAGAATTCACGGTCTGGGGAGGAGACGAGAGGAAACAAAACAGCAGGTGCTTTGAAGGTATGCAGGTGCTTTGAAGGAAACTGAGGCATTGCTGAAGTTAACAAGAAGGTGGGGGATACACGGCTGGTTAGGAAGACAGTCCAGAAATAAGACGTGAGCTTGTCTAGAAGGATTAGTAGGAGTTCCCAAGCCAACGAGGAAGGGAAGATCATTCCAGGCAGGTCGAATTGCATATGCAAAGTAACAGACGAGGGAGAGAATGATACTAGGTTTGGACAACTAACGTGGAGAATGATTAGAGCAGAAGTGCATTTGGGGTTGCAGGTAGGAGAATAAATTCTGTAATAATTAAGTCAACAAATATTGAGTGCTTACTATATGTCAGGTAGTGTTCTGAGTGCTTGGGATAGAGCAGTAAGATAAAACTTCTTCCCCTATAGAGCTTCCCTTATAATGAGAAGAGATAAAAAATAAACAATCAACAAAATTAGTAAGTAAAATAAGTAGTATGACAACAGAGAAAAATGACAGGGAGTGCCGGGTCATGGTATGGGAGGAGGGGGAGAATGCTGCAATTTTAGATAAGATGGTCACAGAAGGCCTCACTGAGATGACTCCTGGACAAAGATCTGAAGGAGGTGAGGAGCAGGTCATGTGCCTCTCTTAGGGAAAAGTGTTCCTGGAAGAGGCAACAGCATGAACAAAGGTCTTGAGCAGGAGTCCGGCTGGCAATGACAAGGACGCCAAGAAGAGGTAAGGTTGCACAGGAAGCAGGTGGCCAGATCATGGAGAACTTTGTACACCTTTTTGGCATTTACTCTGAATGAGATGGGAAGCCACTGAATGAGGGTTCTGAGCAGACACGATTTGAATTAAGATTTAAAAGGATCATTCTGGATACTCTGTTGGGAATATTCTGTAGGGGGTAAGGGCAGAAGCAGAGATACCATCTAGGAAGACCAACAGTAATCAATCACGTAGGCAGGTAAGAAAGATGACTCTGGCGGCAGAAAGGCGATTGGAGTGGACTGAAGGCAGGAAAACCAGGAACATAACTTGTGCAGTAATGTGGGTGAAAAGCAATAAAGATCTAAACCAGGCTGAGACACTAGGAATGGAGAAACGGAACAGGGTTGAACCACATGTAAGAGACAGAGAATCATCAGGACGGGAATGGAAAGAGATCAGAAGGATGGAGAAAGAGGTTTCTGAAACAGTGAATACAGGTACCTGAGAGTGTCATGCAGAGAGAAAATTCAAATAGAGGGAAAATTCAGCTTCCTAGCCTAAAAAAAAAAAGAAACTGAGGCATTGCTGTCTCTCCAGGAGGCACAAAGCACTTCGTCCATCAGTCACACAAGACAGAAAGCCGTGTTTTATTCTGGAAGCTAGAAACCCATCCGCCTAGTTGCTCAAGCCAGATACCTGGGAGTCATCCTTGTCATCTCTTATTTTCTTAGCTCCATATCCAATGCACCAAAATATCTCTTTCATCTGTTTTCTCATCATTAACACTAGCAGTGCCCAAGTGCAAGCTATAGGTCTCTTACCTGGAGATCTATGACAGTTCCCGAACTGATCTCTCTCATTCTTGCTCCTCCCCAATTCGCTCCTCAATCTGGGGACAGAATGCTCTTTCTAAAGTGTAAACCGGATCATGCCACCCTTTGGCTCCAAATTTGTCAGTGGCTTCTCACTAACTTTAGGCTACAAATTCCTGCCTGATGTGAGCCCTTACTCCTCTAGCTTTATCCCAGGTCACTTTTCCCCCCTGCTCCTATGGAGCCCAATCCTGCAGAGCACCTGGCACATAATAAACATTCAACACACATTTGCTGATGAATGAATGTGACATTTCACCCATCAGTGAACTAACTGCCCCAGAAGCCACGGACTATGGTCCAAGTGGACAAAAGCCCTCAGGTCCACCCTGTAGGGCTTCTATACCACCCAGGACTAGAACTCTGCTCACTCTATAGGTGCTTGTGGCAGGCGCTCTGATTACTAACAGGAGGCAGATGCATTTAGGCAATTATCATTGGTCAAGCTATTTGGCAGCCTAGGCGGCAGAGGGTGGAGCCTAAGGCTAAATACTGACCTCCTCTGCATTCTCCAAGTCATCTAGCCCTTCATCCTCCTCCACATCATCAAAGTCATCGCCATCAAAACTGTACAAGAAGAAGAGAGGCCAGTTAGTGAGAGCATCACTTACTAGAATCAAAGAGGGCAAAGAGTATCTCATCCAATATTTAGGAGGTGCTCAATAAACATTTACTTAATGAATGAATCAAACTTCTTTCAAAACTTGTTTCATTTTACTCCTTCAAACTTGTCCCATCAGCCCCCAAATTCTGCTAGGACTCATTCATCACCACTGTTTCTTTTCTCTCTCTACTGGATCATTCCCATCAGCATGTAAACATGTAGCTATTTCCCCATTTTAAATAACAAACAAAACTTCTCTATTCTCTTCCCACGGAGCCCTATTTCCATGTTCCTTGTAGGAGCAAAATTCACGAAATAGTTGTCCATTGTCACTGTTTCCAATTCTGTCCTAATTTCACTCCAAGAAGACAACCACCTCCATGGCTCCGTTAAAACCACTCAAGTTTGTTAATGATTTCCATATTGCTCAATCCAATGAACTGTTCTCATTCAGCACTAGGCCACTACTCACTCTCACTCAATACACTCTCTTCACTTGACTGCTAAGACACCTCCCTCTCTTGGTTTTCCCCCACCACTGGATGCTCCTTCTCAGTCTCTTTGGCAGGTTTCTCCTCTCCCCACTCTCAGCCCCCCGCCCCCTGCCTAAGCACTCTGTTGGTATGCTCTTTCAGTCATCTCTTTACTGTCATTCCCCGATGACCTCACCTATTTCTTAGTTTTGACCATAAGCACTCCCTGTTGGTATGCTCTTTCAGTCATCTTTTTACTGTCATTCCCCCGATGACCTCACCTATTTCTTAGTTTTGACCAATATACTCATGCTGACCACGCCCCTATTTTTATCTTCAGAACAGACCTCTCCTCAGACCTCACATATCAGGAAATCTTGGCTCTAGCTTCAAAATAAATCCAGAATTCAAAACGACTGCTCACTACCTCTACTACTATCATCCTCGTAGAAGCCGCTACCTTCTCTCGCCCTAGATTACTGCAACCCTTCTGGACCTTACCACCTCAAAGTCCCACCAGACCTTCCTCTGGAGTACTTCCATACAGTAAGTCCTCCCTTACTTACATTGTCGACAGGTTCTGCGACTTTAAGAAAAACGATATATGACGAAACTAATTTTCCCTTACGCTAACATATAAACAGGAGTTAAGTTCCTACAGCATCTCATCAACGTTAGAACAAAAGCACGTTATTTGCAGACCTGCTGTACTACATATTTTCACTGCCTAATCTTACACGGTCCTGTATTATCTGTTTATGGACCTGTCTCTGCTTCTAGAAAGAGAGCACGTGGAGAGTAGGGACCATGCCTAATACCATCTAAATATTCCCAATAAAAAACACAGAACCCAGCTCAGTCGAAGTTTGCTAAAAGATGCTTTTTTCACTGATTCTCTCTGGACACTCGAGCATGAGCCTTTCTGTGCCCAGTCTCTGGCTATGCTTTGGGTTCCTCACCCTTCGCTTCCCCAGCTCCAAGAGTCCCCTCAGCTGCCCCCTCTACGCCTGGCTCCTCAGCCTCCAGCGACCCAGGCTCCCGCCTCACCCGCCCCTTCCGAGGTTCCACAAAGGCCACTTTGCTCCCGCACTCACTTGTCCTCGTTGTCTGACATGACGCCCGCGCCGCAGTGCCCCGGCTTTGCGACCCAGACCTTTGCGGAGACCCGCAAACAGCAAGCCTCCGACTCGCACGGGGCCACACGTACTCTGCGCCTGCGCTATGACCCAGAGAAAAACCACTTCCGGGAGCAGGCTGGCGCGGTAAGTGTGCGCATGCGCCGAGAGGCATGTGCTTGTTACCATGGTAGCCAGAGCGTCTAGTGGCCGGCTGTAGACCCCAACATCTCAAAGTATTTCTGCGCGGCCCCGGTGCGGTGCCGCCTTAGAGCTGTGGTTTCGGTCTCCGAAGCCCAGCTGCGGTGCTTTGTGGGGAGGCGCGCGCCCACCCTGGGTCTTACTTTAGGGTGAGGTTTCAATTTTGGCGAAACACCACGGGAAATGTCGTGATCATGGCTATCTTGAGGACCCCATTCCCCCGAAGAGCCTTTCCTGCCACAGGCATGGGGTCAAGATGAGATCTCCGTTCGTGTGTGTGTGTGTGTGTGTGTGTGTGTGTGTGTGTGTGTGTGTCGGCCTGTGTGTCTTCGGGGTGGGAGGATCGAGCACCGTCGCAGTAGTGATGGGTGGCGTCTCGATTCTCTTGTGGTCGACCCCGCTCCCAGACTTTGGTAGAGAGGAGTGCTGGAGTAGAGATTGGACTTGGGAGACAGGAGGTGTGTCATTGTGTTTTTTCCCTCCTCAGGGCCCTCCCATGGCTTCCCAGGAGAAGGTGGAGGCAGTGACCAAAGGAACGGGGCTCTGGAGTTGCCCCAAGCAGGGCACTTACACCCCTGGGACTTGTGAGCTCCTGAGAGGTCAGTGCGCTTAAAAGACAGGAGGTGGTTACAGTTACCCTCTAACTCAGGTCTCCCTTTCATGACCTGTGGCTTAGCAATTGCTATTTTAATGTTACAGAAAGATTCAGGTCCTATAACTTGCAAGTGGCCAAAAGTCAAAGAACTAAGAACTTTAGAGTAGTTCACGACTGTGTATCCCTTAGATCACACTTTAGTTTCCGGGGGGAAGACTTATCTCCTCCCTACCCACAACCACAGTGGAACCAACTGTTTTGTGCCCACACACTACCAAATACCTTTTCTGCATTGGACTTAGTGCAACCTGTAGTCAGATATTTAGTGTGTCCCATTGGATTAGTTTCCATCTACTCCTTTAGCCCATAATTCCATCAGGGCAGGGATTGTTTCTCTTTTGGCTCACCATTATAGCTCCAGCCCCTGGCACCTGCTTAATGAATACTTGCTCCTTTGTTCATTCATTCATTCATTCATTCACTCACTCAATAAAAAGTTTTTAAAAGCCCACTATGTGCTTTAGCCATTGTTCTAGGTGTTACAGATACAGCATTAAAAAAGAAAAAAAAAAAACAGCAAAAATTCTGGCTCTCATGGAGCTAATATTCTAGCAGGAGGGTAATAAATACTAAATAAGTAAAATATGTAGAATTTAGATGAGTGCTATAGAAAAAAAAAATGAAGCAGGAAAGGAAGAGAGGGAGTACTCAGGTACAGAATAGGGGTAGGAGGTAATAGAATTTTAAATTCCAGTGGGTTAAATGAAGGCATCTGCCTGCAGCCCAGGAGGCTTCATAGAAGTGCTTTATCTTGCAGTGATGATGAAGGACTCCAAACTGACTAAATTCCAGCAGCGCCACATCATGGACACCATGAAAAGTAAGAGGCAGTCCTTAGGGGCTTCTCCGGCAGAGAGATTCTAGGCCACGTTTTTAAAGCTCCTCCATATTAAGGGGTAGGGGACATCATTCTTAAAGACTAAAATGGTATAGTATAGTATTTCTGACCTTTTACTTGGGGAAGTGACCTTGAGGGACCTTTGTTCCCCCACCCAGACATGGGTCCTGGCACAACAACAAGCCTCCTGTAGTCTGGCTCTAGCCGACCTCCCAAGAGAGCACAGTCCAATCAAGAATTTCTGCCCAGTCAAAATGGTCTCAAAATTGTCATGTCTGCAATCTCTCCCTCCCTGTTACAGACACATGTGCTCTCCAGAGAAAAGGACTGTGTGCCTTATTTGTCATTTCATTCATTCATAGATTAGCTAGCAGAAACAAGAAAACTGACAGAATCCCAACTTAGGAAGACCATGCAAAACCTTCCCACAACTCACCTCTGACCACACATTGGATTATTTATTTTTAAGGAAAACAAAAAAGTAGACATACATGGGCACAATAGCAAGGGACCCTCTAAAACCTTGAACGCAACCTTGCTTTCTGAGATTTAACTGAATCAACATTTAATGGTTCAGAACAGAGACCTGTAAAGTTGCCTTTGAGAGAGAATGCCGAATACTGAGAGCTTTTGCCTTCTCTGAGGAAAGAACGTGCTTCTCAGGAGCGCATCTGATCAATCACAGAAGCACAGGGACAAGAGAGTCAGATACTGCCAGCGTGTGTTCAGCACTGGTTGGGGGAGGGAGGCTCCATTGGGCCAGGTCAGGAGTCAGATGTCTTTCCTTATTGTGGACAAGGATAACTCGGGCTGCCAGTGTCTAGTGCCATAATGTATGTGAATTACAACTCACTGTTTACACGCAGCAATCTACTAATAAATTGGTGTCCCCTTAAGCATGAAAACAAAGAGACTTTGCTAGAAATTCCACTAAAGGTCAATACCAAGAGAATAAGGACCGTGTCTGCCTTGTTCACCACAGTAGCCCTGGCACTCAGGTGCTCCTTTACTAAAGGACTAATTGCATTAGTGGTTAGACCAACACAGGTAACTGGTTCCCCTGGCAGTGTTATTCCCCTTAGAAGATTTTTTTTTAATTGTCTCCAAGCATTGGTGTTGAGTCTGTTTTCTTCCAGAATCTTCTCTTTACTTCCCTCCTCATAACCAAACCCTACTGTTGTTTTGAGCCTTAGTTCAAATTCTGTTGCAAGCCACAAATTCCTCTTCTCCATCTGAATTCCCAGAATTCCTCGGGGCATATTGGCTGAAAACAGCCAAAGGAAGAGGTAGCATTTGGCACTGAAGAGACAGAAATAGGGAGTGGAGGGAGCAGGAGGGACATTCTAGTAAGCGCAGCATCTCTTCAGAAAAGAGAGAGCCATAGACCATGGCGTGGCAACAGGGAGAGGATGTGAGAAGGGGAAGGTTGGTGGGAAAAAAAGCGCCATCCTTCCGGTTCCTCAGGGCAGACACGTCAGTCACCCTGGACTCCTTCCTCCCAGACCCCACATCAGCAATCCTGTTTGCTTGACCTTCAAACCATATCCTGACTCTGCCTCTGCCGTTGGTCCCCAACACTGTACTTTCAACGGTAGCCAAAGGGATTATGTCGCCCCTCTGTCCAAAACCCTCCGATGGCTTCTGAAATACAAAGTAAAAGCCAGTCTTTCCAGAAGCCTACAAGGCCCTATACTTCTCTTGCCCTCCATGACCTCTGACCTCTACTCCCACTAACCACACCCGCCTTGCTCCTTCCTTTCCTGGCACTCTAGCCCGACTGTTCCTCAGACACTCCAGGTACGTTCCCACCTCAGGGCCTTTATTCTGTTTTCTCTGCTGGAAATGCTCTTCCCCAAAATATCTGCATCGTTGGGCCCCTCACCATTTTGGGGTCTTTTCTCAAATGTTACCCTCTTCACAAGGCCTTCCCTGGCTACTCTGTTTACAAACTCATAAATCCCACTGTGGCACATTCTACACGGTCACCACCTACCATACTATATATCTTACTTATTTTATCATCGTCCACACCCCATCTGCAGGCACCATGAGGGCAAGACTTTGTCTTACCACTTTACCCGCAGCAGCCTGGGTCTGGCCCAGTGTAGATGCTCATTATGTATTTGCTGGATGGATGATAGGAGGAGGCTGGGAAGGTAGAAGGGGTAGACAGGGGAGAGATCCAAACAGTGGGTGGGGCCTGCTGAGCTAGTGTTTGAGAGGACGAACCAGTCAACCAGATAGGAGGTGACACACTTGGCCGGCCCGGGGAAGGAGCCCCAGGTCTGGGCCCAGGCAGTGGGGATGGACAATAGGAAGGATTGGTGTCTATTACTGTCCAAACCATCCCTCCCTGCCATGGGACAAGCAGGTTTTAGGAATCCATCTATAGAAACAAAAGTACCAGTATGAAGGTTGATAAATAAGAATGTTTATTGCAGCATTGTTTGAAGTAGTAAAAAAAAAAAGAAAAGAAAGAAAGAAAAGAAACAGCCTGAATTTCTGGAACTAGGAAACTAGTTGGATAAATAATGTTGCCATTCTAAGGACTAGTATACAGCTATAAAAAATAAGTTATATATAAATGGAGCGATCTGGAAAGATATCCATGATAAGTTGTTAAGAGTCTGTTATTGAATACAGTATGGTCCAGTGTTTGAAAAACAGATCTTATATATGCGCACATATCTTTGAACATGTTTATATAAGCATCAAAAAGAATCGATGAGACCACCAAATCGTTATCATGCTCACTGTAGCAGGGGTTTGAGGGGAGACGGGGAGGCGCTCCTGGACTGTCTGCCTTGCAATAACAGGCAGGTATCACGTTTATAAATTAAGAAAAAAGCCAAGTGGGTCCTGCCACTCCAACCCTTCCTTCCCCAGGAGGAAACACTCTGCCCCTACAGTGCAGCCCAACATCCAGCCAGAGGGTCTTGCCCTCCAAGCCGCCAGCCTCGGCCATCTACCTGCCTCCCATCCTGGAGGCCCGGTCCCACCTCCGGCCTGCCAGCCTGTGCCAGGCCAACGGGGCCTACAGCCGGGAGCAGTTCAAGCCTCGAGCCACCCGTAAGTGGGAGGGCCTCGACCAGAGCCCCTCTTCTACCTCCCTCTCCGAGGGGGATGGGGAATGCAAGGACGGGACAAGCTGCCCACAGGCGGGTGAGCACACGTCTAGTCAGATTCTCACACTGTTTCTACTTGAGCCTTGGCACATGTTAGCTGGGGGTATTCAGGGTGCAGGGGAAACCAGTTAGTTAGGTGGTTCTTTTTGAAATTTTTTCCAGAACTCTTAACAATTAACTGGATTCTACCAATCTCTGATAAATGGCTGGCTGTCAGGTCTCATGGCTATTGTTCTTTGAAGCTCACACGGTACCTCACATCCAGAACTCCTCTGTACTCCAGCCTACTTCATGGAGCCATCCACCCCCTTCCTCCTTGGCACTTGACACAACTCGTGGCCCAGAGCCCCCCGGCCCTCCGCGCAGCCTCTACACACAAACCGCCACAATGCTGATCACTGAGCTTTTAGCCTCATTCTGCACCAAAGCAGGGTGTGGGTTTTGACAAAGCTCTCTTCTTGGTTCTTTCGACCTCTTTTCATTCCTGCCTTTCTTGACGTGACAGGCTCAGGAGCTCCCTGGGTGGAAGGGGCTGGGATTGCAGAAGCCCTCTGCTTGTTGCCCAGGCGCCCTGCAGCAAGCTCACCCAACTGGGAACAGACCACGAATGGGGCTCCCTTCGTGCCTTAACCAGGCCATTTCTGGGCCTTACAGGAGATCTGGAGAAGGAGAAGCAAAGGCTCCAAAACATCTTTGCCACAGGGAAGGACAAACAGGAACGAAAAAGAAAACCCCCTCCCGTGCGACAGGCGAACCCAGCCCCGGAGCTGGATAGGTTTGAAGAACGTAAGCTACCCGTGGGCCAGTTATGGAGGTGGGGAGTGTGTGTAGAGGCCCGGAACTGGGGGAGGGGGTGACCCCCGAGGGTCCACTAGTGAGAAACACTAACCACAGAACTGCCTCCTCTCCCCGAGAGGTAACCCCTGCCCCTGCCGCCCCTGCCACCCCTGCCAGGAGCCCGATGGCCTCAAAGCCCTGTACACTGATGCCCCTTCTCCCCGTCCAGTGGTGAAGGAAATCCAGGAGAGGAAAGAGTTCCTGGCTGACATGGAGGCCCTGGGACAGGGCAGACAGTACCGAGGGATCATCCTTGCCGAAATCTCCCAGGTAGAAGCAACAGGGAAGCGGGATGAGTGTGGAGTACGAGACGTGAGCAGAAATTAAGGGTCAGCTGTGGCCGAGGCTTCGCAGTCCAGCCCTCCCCTCACGTCGGTGTGGGCTCTGAGAGTTCCGAGCCTGATTCCAGCTTTCCCTGATGCCCTTGCAGAAAGTACAGGAAATGGAAGCCATCGACCACAAGAGGAGTGAGGAACTTAGGAAGGCTCTCGCCACCACTTAGTCATCTCCAGAGACGGGGGCGGAGGAGCCCAGCCTGGACCACTGGAGCCCACCCCCTTGCCGAGCAGGGCCATCCTCAGGTTAGCCCACCCACCCTGGCTTCCAGCCATGTCAAATGGTTGGTCACACAGCAGTGCCCTGGCCTAGGGTGCCCCGGGCAGCTACAGCACCCTAGAAAATGGACCACATCAGAGAATGAGCTGGTTCTCCTCGAGACTGGGTCAGCTGCGCCTGTGAGACCCCACAGTCACAGACACGAACACACACATCGAGCCTGTTCTCGGGGAAAGAGCCATACATTGTGAAAACAAGGCCCTAGTCTCACGATATTGCGCGAGCGTCTCAAGGGCATCCAGCAGGCCCTCTTCCCACATCTCCACCCACTGCGTGTCCCCATATTTAGTTTTCTGAACTTAGGAGAGAATGTGATGCCTTTCTTCTTACCTACCTGCCTTAGGACCTACTTATTTGACTTCTTATAGCCTTAGGCAAATGTTTAACTACTGTGATTAATTGGCCAATAAAACGCATTTAACATAGGTCATTATACACGCCATTTTGTTTTCAGAGGGATAAGGCTTATTTGATCAAGGAGTTAGAACTTTTCAATCACTGTTTCTAGCCCTTCGCATATTTCAAGGGTAAACGGAAACCAGTGCTCCTGAGCACCCCCGCTGGGCGCCGTGGCAGGTGCTGAATTGGCAGGTGCTGAATTTCGCTCTCAGTTAATTCGCTTGATAAAGCCCTTTGATAGTGTGTTATCCCCGTGTGAAAATTAAGGCTCGCAAAGACCCTATTACCAAGGTCATTTCACCAGCAAGTAGCCCAGTCACGATTAAACTAACTCTGCATCCTTCCACTAAACCCAGGGCCCATGGGAGGACACCTAAAGGCGGGGAGGGGTCCAGAGAGCCCTGGCTTTGCAGCACCGGTACTGGCCCATGCTCCATGGGCCTGGGCAAGCCCCAGCCTCAGCTCTGATTCTCATCCGTGAGGCGCGGCCTCAAAAGGCTGCTGAGGAGGCATCTGCCCACGAGCGCAGCCCCCGGGCCTGGCACACAGCACATGGCAATCCCCATTTCTTCTGACAACCACGAGCCTTACGTTCTCCTGCATTCTGTCATGCTCCCATCCCCATAGACCAAAATATTTTGGAAATGTCAACCAACTCTCCTACCTGGAGGGATTCATATAATCCTACAGGCCATATGACCCAAGTCCTGGTTTGCAGGATAAAACACCGCCTGCAGCCTCAAACAGATGAGCGTCGAGGGCCAGATCCAGGGCTGGCCCAGAAACATTCCATAGGAAGCCTGTGCCCAAACACCCTCCGAAACCTGAGGGCAGAGGATGTGGCGGGGTGAGGAAAGCTGGTTCTACCTCACAGGCCCCACCACATGGCCCAGTGGCAGCACACTGGAGAACCCCGGGGTAAATTCAGCCTACGCTTGATTTAAATTCAGATTAGTGGCCAACATCTACAAATCACGCACACACACGGTGTGGATTTCTAGCTTCTTTGGAAAAAATGGGAGGTCGTCACACTGGGCCACAGGCTCCAGTTGACTTAAGGAAGAACTTCCCCCTTTAGTTGTGGCATAGACACCCCAGTTCACCCCAGTCCCCACCACCTGAGTCTCCCGACACAAGACCCCTGATGGAGCCATCCCTGGTTCATGTGTCCTGGTCCTTGAAAGGCCCTGGAGTCGGTGACCCCAACTCAAGGCCTACAGGCACGTTTGGAAGGAGACAGCAGGGGATACGCGGGTGCCGGAGCCGCCTCCCTGCAGAGGTGGGAGTCCTGCCCGATGGCCGGCGGCGAGGGCCAGAGCCCCTGTCAGTGGACAGCCCCTACATGGCCCTCCTGGGCCACCAGAGATGCCTGGCCACAAGGTGCAGCAGAGGCAGGAAAGAAGGCAAATGTGGCCAAGGGAAAAGCACCCACGTCTGCAGGGCACGGCAATGCGGTCGTCTCCATTTATTGGTGGTGAGGAAATCCTCGTGAGTTAATACAGTGCGATCTTTCCCCAGAAGTGTGCTGAGGGAAGGGGGCCCTAGAGCAGCCCCAGAAATAGCTTATAGCAATAGTGCTTTGACCAAGAGTTGCTGGGCACAGTCCCTGGGAAAAAGGCATTGTCCCCATCAGCTCCTCTCCCACAGCCATTCCAAAGGGGCGAGTGGCCATCAGTCCTTCAGTGGGAACAAGCCGGGAAAGAATGAACAACAGACGAGTATGAGCAGACTGGTGACGACCACACACAGGAACAGGCCCACTATCCCCTCCCTCTGGGCGCAGGGAGCCTCAATGAGGGGTCAGACTACAGTGTGTTAAACAACCATGATTAGCACCTACGTAAAGCGTACCCCCCTTTGGCTGATAATTAGGGACCAGAACTGCAACTGGGGCCAGCCTCAGCACGGGGGAACCCACCCGCCCAGCGTGGCTATCAGAGGCCCCTGTCCTGGTGCGGTTTCCTAGAGAGCGAGGAAGATGAAGGAAGTACCGAGAACTTCAAGGGACAGAGTACAGAGGGAGGGTTTTGTCCATCAGGCCCATTCATGTCAGAGGACACAGGAACCAACCCAAACCGAATCAGAGACTTCATAAATACAGCTCCTGAATGAGGAGAAACAGGTTCAGGGCCGCCTGCCCCGGAAAGGAAGACAGAGACTCGGAGCCAGGGCAGGAAGAAGCCAGGGCCGTGGCACCAAGAAGCCAGGGCAGCCAAGCTCTGCTTTCTGGCCTGCCAGGAGGGAAAGAACCCTCAGGGCAGGACGCCAGGCCAGAGGCCACCACGGGCAGACCTCAAGGGTGGAAGGAGCCTCAGGTCAGAACTCTGACAACTCTGAGGCCCCATCTGGACCTCACACAGAAGGGAGAAGGACCAAGGAGCTGCCTGTCACGGCAAGGGCCGGGCGAGACGAGGGGCGGGTGTGCTTGGCCACTGCTGCTCCCTAGACCAAGGACCCCGCTTGCTCCTTGGGCCCATCACAGCATCTGGAGTCATCGGAACCAGACTGGGAAGGGCTGAGCCACAGATGCCTGTGGCTCAGAGAAGAGGGAAGAAAACTCTTTGGCCCAGACCAGCCAGAGGACCCTGAGGAGGGAGAGGCCGTCACCCGGAGGCCCCCTCCCCTTAAGTCATCTTTCCTCTCAACTGGTCCTGAAGGGAAGTAGGGTGCCCCCTCCAGCGGGGCACAGCCCAGAGCCTGAGCCGGGAGGGGGTGGGTGGAAGCCCCTGGCTGTTAGCTCCTGTCCCCGGGGGACTTGCTCTTGGTGTCACGCTTGTTTCCTAGCAGCTTCAGCACCTTCATGGTCTTGAACTTGCCCTTCCTCCTGCCCTCGAGTTCAGCCTCCTTCTGGAACTCTGCCGGAGAGAAAGGGGAGTCTTAACGACATGGTGCAGGAAGAGGCCAGGGGTAGTGACAGAGGTCTGAGAGTGCCTCTGGGAGGGGCTCAGCCCAGCTCGAGCCCCTCTCCCTGGGGAACCCCGGACACGTCACCCTCCACCCCTCTGAGCCTCCAGTTCTTAATCTATAGAATGGGAACCATACTCTCCCCAGTGTTCTGGCAGGATCTGAGATAAAGGCAGGAGAGCCATCTGGGAACTCTGAAGCCTGGCATACATTTATCTTTAAAATGATGATGCCCCGGGCTGGTGCTCACAGCTCAGTAGGTTCCAACACAAACAGTGACTGTCACAGCTAGAAGAAACCTCAGAAATCATCTCTCCCAGCCTCTAATTTTGCAGATGAGGAAAATGTGGGTTTGAAATAGACTGACACCAACTGATCTCTTTGTAGGTGCGAGGCCGTGAGCCAAGTGCTTTACACGTTGTCCCAGCAGTCCTCAGCACACACCTGGGAGGTGGGGGCCTCTACCACCCCCATTCTGCAGACAAGGAAAGTCAGGCCTAGAGGGTGAGTAGCTGGCTCAGGTATCCCATTAGTAAGCACCAGAGCTGGGACTGGAACCCGGGCAGTCTGAGTGGAGTCCAGACTTAACCACGAGGCCACAAAATGAGTCACGGGTGGAACGAAGATTAAACCCAGGTCTCCTGACTCCCGGTCCAGTGCTCTTTTAACTGTTCTGGGAACTCTCTTATTCCCAGTAGGCACTGTGACTTGAGCCCACAGACCCCTCCAAGACCAGCGGTAGATCTCAAGGAGGAATGCACAGCGCAAGGCAAACCATCCTGGGAAAATGCTCTGTACCCCACAAACCTCCCCGTGGGCACCAGGGCATCCCACGCCCACCCTCCGAGCCCCGGCCACAGCCTTCGTGGTTATAGGCTGGCCTGCCTTGCTACACGCGGCCTTCCTAGCAACCAAAACAGCTGAGAGTTGTCACACACCATCCCTGTGGCGCCAGCTCCAACCCTCTTTTCAACCTGTCCCCCACCCTCCAGGAGTCCAAGTGGGCCAGAGTCCCAGGAGGGGGCCTCACCTTTCTTCTTGATCATGGCTTCCAACATCTTATCTTCCTCTTCCTCCCTAAAACAAGAAATGGAAGCTGAGGGTCTCACAGGAGAAAGGACAAGAAAATCTCTCGGTCCCTTCCCGCCTCCAACTCCTCACAGGTTGGGATCGCTGGCAGCGAGGGCAGGGCCGGCCTGACCTGCTCCGGGCCCTTCCCCCAAGGATCCCCCAAGGAGGCCCCCAAGGGGACCCAGCCATATCACCTCTGCCGGTCCTCATCCAGGCAGTTGATGATGGCATTGCGCTGCTCAATGAGGGTTACAATCTCCTGCATCAGCACCTTCTCCCGGCCCCGGTCCTCCTCTGTCCAGTCCTTTTCTGCCCAAGGAGAAAAGTTGGGAATGTGAGTGGGAGGAAAACCCTCCTTCCCAGGAAGCCAGGAAGCAACACCTAAGTGCTAAGTGCCACGCTAGACCCTCTGAGGATAGGAAGCGGGGGCCCAGATGGGTGCGGATTACAAGTTTTTGGAGAAATGAAGATTATTATAGAAGAGACTAAGGATACTAGGCTGCCTACCAAAAACACCCTTCTGGGAAGGCCAGCACACCTGTTCTGAGAGGAGAGACCAGCGCATGCTGGACGGCTTCCTGCTTTGGTCATCTATTCATTCATTCAGTAAATGTTCAAGGTAGTTTCTTGAAGGAGGCAGGACTTGGGCTGGGCTCACTGAGAGCCTCCGAGGGCGGGCTGGCTGGCCAGAGTGGGCAGGGGTGGGGAAAGAAAAGGGAACCCCAACGGTCCTCATGCAGGAAAAGCAGCGTGACCCACGTGGCATACTGGGACTTTAATGCCATGAAGAAGGGTAGACTAGAGGGACCCTGGGGACAGGGAGACCAGCCAGGAAGTGTCCCTGATGTCTCATACACCTGCTGTTCCTCCAGCCTCCTCTCAAAAACCCTGAAGACCACCCTCAGGCCCTACCTGCCCTCTCACCCAGCCCTCAGGCTCCCAGAGGATGGATGCCCACACTTGGCCTTCCCTCCACAACATCTGCCACAAAAGGCCTCTCTGTCTCAAAATAAGCATCCTGAGTCCCCCTCGGCCATGCCCCAACCCCCTACCACCTCACCTAGTCAAAACTCAGGGGCAGATGGCCCAGCATAGTTCTAGGGACAGCATGGGCTTCAGAGTCACCATCCCAGTTCAAGTCCTACTCTGCCACATCCCAAATCTGGGTCCTAGACAAGTTATGACCCCGATCTACATGTGGGGAAACTGAGGCTCGGGGAAGTTAAGTTTTTGACCAGTGTCACGCAGCAAGGGTGGAGCCAGTATTCGAGCCTGGGCAGCCTGATACTCCCCAGCTACAGCCCTTATGGTAGATATGGGTCCAACCCACTTTGGGGGCCTCGTAAATCAGTCTCGCCCCGCAAAAGCAACATTTGACAAGCCCAGGATGTGCTGCCACCATGCAGAGAGCTAGAGAAGCCACACAGTAAGGCCAGGCTGGCCTCGGGTACACAGCGGCTGTGCCCACTTCGGCCACAGGGTGTCTCTGTGGCTCCCTCTGAGTGGCAGCCACATCCCAGCCTCCCCGAGATTTGGGAGTGAAACAGACAGTAACAGAAAGCTAGGTCTTTCTATGGCTTCCCCATGGACCCTCCTGCCTCTGGCTCTCATCCAGCCTCCCAACTTCCCAGGATACCGTATCTTCATTGACTGTGTGTGTGCAGGGATGGGCACAGGCCAGAGCCAGGAACCAAAGCTCAGCTCTACCACCAACGGGCTCTGCCTCGCCTGTCTTACACCTGAAGCCTCTGAGGCTCAGTGAGCCTGAGAAACCGGCCTACCCTCCCCGTCCACTGGCATGTTGGTGGCTGAACACAGGACTGTCTCCAAGCCCAACCCTTCCTGCTGCCCCTCCATCACTTGAGTCTGTCCTGTCCCTCGCTTCCAGAGTCACTCTAAGTCACTCCTAGCATGCATGGGTCCCTCTGCCTAACCTTACCCCTAACGTAATGTCCTGCCATGCTCTGGCCTGATGGCTGTGAGTCCACAGCTGCCTCTGAGAGGCCTCTGCTGTCACCTACTTATCAGAGCAGCCCTGGGGCCCGAAGCTCCTCCCCGCTGGGAACCAGCCCACCCACATGTTCTGGGAGAGGCGACAGCCACAGGTGGTCTGTTCCTGAGCCTGAGGCTCCCTGTGAGCCTGTCATCCCCAACGCCCTGTGTGTCCACATTCCCATGCTGGCCATGCTGTTCCCTCTCTCACTGTGGCTCAAGCCTGTTAGCCCAGACGACACCTCCAGGCCCTCTCCTCTGACCCTGTCTCCAGAGTCTGCCTGTGTGTCCCCATCAGGGGTTCTATCTGTCCACTTGCCAGCCTGGAGGGGAAGAACCAGTCCCTGGGGCAGGTGCCCAAGGAACGCACGAGGCTGCACTCACCTGGTTTGTTGAGAAGGCACCGGAGCTCATACTCCACGTCCGCCTGACGTTGTTCCAGGTTCTGCTGCTTGAAGCTAGAGGGTGGGAATAAGCTATTAATCCGGCCCCACGCACAGCTGCCCTGGCCTGCGCGTCCGTGATGAAGGAAGGAAGACAGAGGGACTCTCTGTTCTAAGGTCCACAGATTCCAGGAAGGGGAGGAGCCCAGGGCAGGGAGGACTCACACATAGATGAGCTCGGACTCCCGCCGCACCAGCAGGTGCTTCTCGTGGATAAGCTTGAACCAGTCCACCAGCATGTCGTCCTCACGGCTCTCTGGAAGCCAGATGCCCACTGAGGCCAGGGCTGGCAGCAGTTCCCACTCCCCCAGGGCGAGAGGGTCCCCCCACCCCAAGGTCCCACTCCCCCAGGGCGAGAGGCTCCCCCCTACCCCAAGGTCCCGCCTGCCAGGCCCTCCCAGGAGCTTCCGCACCGTTCATTCCGCCTCGCAGCTTCTCCTCCAGCAGGACCCCACGGTGTTCCAAGGCATCCAGCTGGCGCTCAATGGTGTCCACCTCCCTGTGGATGTCATCCTCGGGGATGTACTGGTCAGCTTGGACCTGCTCGACAGCACCCCGGTCACCAAAAGGACATTGCCCTCTCCTTCTGCCTGCCTGCTGCCAGGAGCTTTGCCATTTCTCCAGCCAGCACTGGCCACCATGGGCCCAGGGCCCCAGCTCTGTCCCACAGCCCAGTGGGGCCAGATGCAGGATCCCAGTGTGGGGAAGGGTCGGTGTGGAGACAGCCACAACCGCTCCATGCCCCTGGCCCCAGCACAGACACACCCAGAGGGAGGCACGACTCCCTGCCTCTCGTGGCAACCCTGCCCCCTTCTCTGCCACTCCAGAAGTGATATCCCATTGTGAGAGTGACCCCATTAGAAAGATAAACTTGAGAACTCTCTAATCTATTTAACTACAAGTGCATCATGTGAGTGCTTTGATCCTTGAACTATTATTAGAAACAAGTTAAATGCACCACCCATCGCTCCTGCTTGAGAACAGCTGATCTGCTAGAAATCCCTCTGGCTGCAAGTTAAACCTTCCAGCTGGGTCACCCAAGTGCCCCCTCTCCGACATCTGAGGGCAGCTGCCCAGACAACCCATCCTCTTGAAATGTCCCACGGGGAGCCTGAAGCTACCGAGGGGCCGGGCGCAGGCAGTCTGGGAGCTCCGAGCTGGTACCTTCCGCTTGATGAGCGGGAAGCCGTGTCCTGGGGCAGGAGGCCTCGCTGGCTTGGATCCCTTGGTGGCTTTCTTTGTGGCTGGGGATGCTGTGGGTGATGCCTTCCGGTTAAAAGGATTCTCCTTGCAGGAAGACTAAAGGCAGGGCAACATGACAGAGGATAAGTCTGTGGAGTGGGCAGTAAGACTCCAGTAGCCTCATCACGTGGGACTATGGAAAGCAGGCTAGACCCCAAAGGAAGGGGGCGGAGGGCCCAGGCAGAGAATCTCCCAGCATCCAGCCCCCGATGCACTGTCATTCAACAAACATTCCTATTTCCCAGCACCTCCCCTGTGCAGTTGCTGGGCTGGAGACTTTTCTATGTTCTTATTGAATTCTCACATGGCTCCCAAAGTGATATGAATTGTAATGCCCATTTGACAGCTAAAACTCAAGTTCAGACAGTTTAAGTAATTGGCTCAAGGTCATGTACTTCCCGATGGCCCAAGCTAGGGTAAGAATCTGTTTCAGGGCACAACAGTCACCCAGTACTGGGGACAGTGGACATGGATTTTCAGGCCAGACAGAGCTATAGTGTAGCTCATTCAGGCCTCACAACCACCCTTTCTCCTACAGGCACATTCAGGCTCAGAGAGGTACAGCTCCTTGCCCAGCGTCACACAGCCAGGAAGTCCGAAAGCAGGGATTCCACCTCCATCTGCCCAGCAGATGGAGAAGGGTAGCTCCCTCCCTGCCCAGGAAAGACCCCTGTCCTCTGATGCCCCTCTCTCTGTGCCCAGAGCCCTGCATCTTTCTGTCCCTTTGGGGAGAGCCCTGCCCTCTTGAGGCCAGCACAGCCGGGCAGCCCAGCACTGGGAAAGGGACCTGCCTGCCACAGGGACAACACCAACGTCCTCCAATCACTTTCCCCAGCTCATTGGAAACAGGTGCATCATCACGACCCCAGGGCATCCAGCTGGCGCTCAAGAGTACTCCAAGGCCTCGATGAAGAGGCCTCACTTGAGGCTGTGGAGAGCTCTTCTGAGTGTTTACCCAGCTTTCTCCCAGCAGCTGGGGGAGGCAGGAGGGAGTCCTGCTCACTTCCCCTGCACCAGCCCGGGAGAGATTCTCTCAGGCCCATAGTTGCGAGTCCCGGCAGGGCAGGGAGACGAGGTTTGGTTCCCACAGGGCAGTACCACCCAAGACCCCTGTCTCCTGGCCCTATTGCCTCTGGGATTCTCTCCTAATCTTGGGGCTAGGGGGCGCCCCAGAAAAAGCCCACTTGGGGCTCTGCCGCACATCCAGAAGGGCCCAGTAGGGCCCAACAGCCTGAAAAACTAGCCCCTTTGCCTTTTCTTAGCCACCCAACTTCAAAGACCTTTTACAAACATATCCCCAGGACAGAAAACAAGTGTTTGAATAAGCTGCCAGCAGGGTAGCTGTCCAAAGTCAGCCCCTCCCCAACCTCCCACCACCAAGGAACCCTGGGGCTTCTCGGAGCCAGCTAAGGCCCCTAGAAGGGGCGAGGCCTTCTCAAGGTCTCACAGCAGTTGGGTGGCAAAGCTGGACAGGAGGCCATTGTCCTGACGGGGAAGGTTAACAGGGAAGGTTATCTGAAAGGCACATGGGGAGCCACTGGACCACCAGCTCAGCCCCCTACCCAGCCTATCCTGTCAGGCCAGGCCATGACCACAGCAGCCCAGGTGAACAGCTGCCACCTCCACCAGGGCTGGACGAGCCTTAAGCCTTCAAAGGGCTGCAGAGTGTGGGGTAAAAGTGGGCAAAAGTGGGTGATTGAACCTGGTGACCCAAACGGGCTGTGGCTGCAAGAGACGCCCCCTTGGGAACTAGATGCCCAGAGGAATGTCTTGACCCCTGGTGACCCCCAGTTCCTGGCGTGAGATGGAAACAAGTGTGCAAACAGCCCACAAAGGTCATCTGGAAAACGAACTCCCTAGGACAGTCACCTCATGTCCACTCCACCCCCAAGAAGATAGAGAGTGCAGAGCGGGCCTGGGAAGGGGCCTCTGGCATAAACAGGGCCTCTGTGAATGGACGGGCAGACAGAAGGATGTGCTGCTGATGGATGGTGGCTGGGGACAGGCAGGTAAACAGGTGCCTGAATGCATCCATGCACGGAGGGCCAGGCGAGTGGAGAGATGACTAGATAAATGATGGGAGGTCTGGCCAATGGATGGAAGGATGGATGAAAGGCTCTGTACCTCAGTGAATGGAGTGGTGCATGGTAGATGGACATGGCCAAGGTCAGTCAAGAAGTCAGAGGCCAGCAAAGATGGAAGGCCCTGGACATTCCTCCCCTGAGACCAGATCCCTCATCCCCGCCCTCATCCACTAGGCAGGATGGCAGCTTTTAGTGAGGGTGACACACTCACCTTTACCTGGAGCTGTGGGGATGAGGTTCCAGAGGAAGGCACGAGGCTCTTTTCTCCAACCAACAAGAGAGGGGTGGGGGCAGCACCACTGCAGGGCTTGGCTGGCTGGGACCCTGGGCTGCCCCTAGTACTGGGGGCAAGGCCAGGATTGGCTTGAGGTGTCTGGTCCATGCTGGGCTGCACCAGCTCCCCAGAGGAGGACAGGGAGGAGTTGGCAGAGAGGCTGGCAGAGGTCCCAGGGGTGCCAGGGGCATGAACAGCAGGCTCTGAGGAGCTCTTAGGCACAACAGGTGGCTCCAGAAGCTCCCCGCTGGGGGTCTGGCTGGAACCCTCGGATGACAGGCTCTCCACGCTGAGGGCTGGTGATGGGGTAGCTGAGGGTGGTTCCGAGCGTGAGAGACGGGAAGCGTGGAGAGCTGTACAAACAGATGAGCGAGTGGACGCACGAATGAGGGGGCACGGTCAGAGCTTCCGGCCTCACCTAACACGCTTCACTCTTGGAAACCCGTGTCCTTCCACGTCCAGACGAAGCCAGGGCCCAGACAACCCACCCTCACTTCCTCAACCAGCATGGCTGCCACCTCCACTTCTCCCATGTCTCATCTGACCCAAAGCCAAGCCGAATTTAAATGGCAAATCTGCCAGAGGAGGGGAGGGCACAGACATAATCAAGACTGGCCTCTCCTGTGCCTCTGACCCAGAGCAGAGGTAGGAGGGAGGGCAGCAGGTGAGGGCAGGAGCGGGCAGCCCTCACAGAGGCCGGCTCGGGGCAGGCACTGCCCTGCACTTTAATTGTCGTGCAGGTGATGGCTACTACGCTTGAAAGTATTGTCATGTGTGTTTTCCAAATGAGACAACAGACTGAGAGAGGAGGCACTGGCCCGAGTGAGGGCTGGGGTGAACCCAGCTGTGTCTGACACAGAGCCCCGCCACTGGCTGCGTCCCGCACCCGCCCGCCACCTCCACTTGGCTGACCACACTCAGCTAGAGGGTCCCAGGGACCCAGCATGGGCCAAGGCAGGAACCCCACACCACCTGAGCATCTGCCTCTGATAATCACTAATGTGCTCTTGGCCCCACTGTCTGAGGGGCTCCCACTGAGGTCTCAGAGGCAGCTGGACCCCAGCCATGGTGGAAGGTGACCGGGCCCAGAGCCTAAGACTACAAGCTGGTGAGAGCCCCAAAGTACAATGTTCCTGGAGCAGAGGGGGGGTGCTGGGTTGAGGGGGTACCATGCCCAGGATCTGACCCATCACCATTTTCCATTTGGAGGACAGAGGACAGACACAGGGAAGGAACTACTCAAAGTCACAAGGCCTGAGTCACAGAGCCGGGTCAGAGGCCGAGGCTGCCAGCAACTGGAGGAGAGGGACTAGACAGGGACGAGAGTCCAGCTAACCCACACTTTCCGTGAGCCTGACTGTGCTAAGTGCTTCACCAGGTGATACACTTAATTCTCACAGAAGATCCGTGAGGTAGATCACGAAGGCTTAGGCGTAGAGCATAGAGCCTAGGTCCAAATCCTGCTTCCACTGCATAAGTACTGTGAGGCCTTGGGCCAATCACTTACCCTCTCTGTGCCTGTTTCCTCACTCGCAGATGGGACTATGATACCTGCCTCGCAGGTTAGCTCAGCATTAAGTGAGAGGGTCCACATGAAACGCGTGGCAGCTGGCCGAGAGGGGATCCCACGCACCACGCCCCCTTCCCGGCCCTGGGCTGACCCGGGAGCCCCGCCCCAGAGTCCCGACTGTCAGGAGAGCTCCCAGGGATGGCACTCACCCAGTGGGGACGCGCTGGGCGCTCGGGGGGCAGGGCGCTTCTTTGTCTTGGGGCTGCTGGTGGGGGTGATGCCATACCACGGGTGTAAGGACTTGGGTGTGGACTCCGGGTGGGCCTGAGCAGGGCCGGTGGCCAGGCTAGGTGCAGCCGGGGGCTCCTCCTCCTCCTCCTCAAAGGGGTTGTAGGGCTTGGGCTCTGGGCCAGCCACCGCAGGGCTCCTTGGGGTGCCCTCCTCTACGCCTCCATTCTCCGCCCGCCCACTGTGCTGGCATGGAGGCCCAGGGCTGCTGCTTGGGGGCAGTGGGGCTGGCTTCTTCTTTGGCTCTGCCTGTACCAGAGTGATCCATGGGGGGTCCTTCCTGGGGGCGGGTGTCCTGGAGAGCAGCAGAAAGAGGCAGAAACTGCTAAGAGGCAAGGAGGACATTGTCCTTCTCTCTGGATGCTTCTGAGTCTATTTCAAAGGGAGTGAATGAGAAACTGCACTTTGCTCCTCTCCCACCCCCAGCCCAGTGGGGCCACTCTGGGCCCGCGGCTAAAATGGACTGTTAGAGTCACATCCCAGCTGGGCTCCGTGAGGCCCAGAGAGGGTAAAACCTTCACGTCACGCAGCCTCCGTTAGCCCAGCCCAGGAAAGGGCCCACAAGGGGCTCCCTGTGTGACACTGAGAAAGTCACCTGGCCTCTCTGCATCAATCTCCCACCATGAAATGGAGACAAGAAGCCTCACCTCACAAGGTCACGGTAAGGACCCAGTGGGCACCTGGCACACGGCGAGTGCTCCCTGAGCATTAACTAATGTTGGGCTGTGGCCCACCGCTTCCGCTCAGACACACAGGAGAAGCAGAGCTCCAAAGAACGGCTGGAAACAGGTGTCCTCGCCTGGGACGCAGGGTCCCAGGGTAATAGACCTGAGCCACATAACGGCTAAGCCTTTCTGGGCCCTTTTATACCTGGCTGCTAATTCTCACGACTCTATGAGCCAGACCTGGGTCTCCCACGCTACAGAGGTGGTGGAGGCTCAGAGAGGTAAAGGGACTCCAGAGGTGGCAGTCTCCATCAAGCACTGCTGCCCACAGGAGAGGCTCCAAGAAGGGCCTTGGGGAAGGGAGCACAGCAAACCTGCCCCCCCAGAAATGAGCCCTGCCCATGCCCAGGAGGGTGTGAGGTAGGCCATGTGCCCGTAGAAAGCCTCACACCCCCTCCCCAGAGGCCCCAGGGGGACCCCCATTCCCACTACCAGGCCCCTGAAAGCCTCTCAGGGCCAGCATACCTTTCTGACAGCTTGGGTGTCCCTCTGGGCTTGGGGACAGGGGGTTCGTGCAGTCTTCCTAGATGAGAAAGGAGAGTAAGACAGGCCTTCATGGGCAGCTGTGGGCTGGAGAGCAGAGAGGAGCACCCAAGAGGCAGCCAGAGTGCCCACCTCACCAAGGAGTGCCCTTCCTTCCTACCTGGCAGGTCGACCGCACCTGCACAATCTCACTTCCCCAGCCCAGCACTCAGGGAGATTAGATAAGCACCAAAGGTGACAGGTAGAGAAGGTCAAAGGGGCAAGGCCAGGGCGCCGGACTCCATTTGCACTTCAGTTGAGAGGAGGAATCCAAGTGCCCCTCAGACACTTCCCCAAAGTGGATAGGAAACATTGTCACAACTCAGCCCCAGTGTCACCTCCTGGAAGTCTGTCCCCTGACTTCCAAGTGCCCTTTGTGAACCCCATACAGCCTCTGCTCCCCCGATCTTAACAGGCATCTAAGTCCTACTGAAACCCCTGTGTCTGTGCCTGTCTCCCTCTGGACACTGGCAGTGCCTGAGAGGCACGGACAGATCCGAACAATATCTCTGCCCCCAGTGCCCAGCTCAGGGCTGGGCTTAGAGCAGGCCTCCCGAGTACAGAACTGAACTGAACAACTCAGAGCCTTTCTCTCCCAGGCTCCCCCCCGACCCCCCACCGTGGTATTCCCTAACCTAACCACCATCCCTAACCAAATGATCAGGTCCACCCAACACATCTCGGGTCACAAGAAGCCTGTTTCTGTGGGCTCAGGGGAGCGCAGCGAGTTCATTTGAGAAGGGCCTGTGATGAGGGTGTGGGGCAGAGGTCTCCACTAGTTTGGACTAGCCTGAAGGGAGCCCCCAGGGGCCCACCTGACCAAGGACACACCCTCCCCTGCCCCCTGCCTCCAGCCCCTGAGATCTACCCTGCCAGACATCCAGACACTGACAAGCGACAAGCACAAGGGCTGGGCATGGGAGGGGAGGTCACCTGGAGTGTGCACTCAGACTGGCCAGGACATACACAGTCTGTCCCAGAGACAGTAGGGACACAGGCACACACGGTGTGCACTTGCCACACATCCTGAAACTTAAGCACATGAGATACTCAGAAGAACACAAACACTTCAACACACACAGCGCAGGGCAGCCTGGGGCACGACCAGTGTCTTTTTGGTTCAGCCAGTACCCCTAGCATGGAGAACAGAGCCCGGCACAGAGGCCTCAGTCACTATCTGTTGCACAAACTAATAATCACAGAAACAGCCACCCCCCACACGAGGCACACACAGGCACCCAGGGTGGCCCTGTTAATGTTCCCAGTGCACGTGTTTAAACACCACACGCTCCACAGCGAGCGCCCAGCCCCAGCTGGGCCGTTGCTCACCGTTCACCAGGCCGCTGCTGCCACCCTGCTCCATCGAGTTCTCAGGCTGCAGACTGGACCGGGGCCGGGGCGTGGGGGGCGTCAGGGCTGTGCTCTCGGAGACCTTCCTGGGGGCAGGTGTGGGGCAGCTCGCCGGGGGGCTGGCCAGCTCCGGGGGTTTGTCAGGAACCTGAGGCTTGGCGGGGATCTGGGGCCGGGCCTCGGGGCTGGCCTTGGGCACGTCCACCTCAGCCCCCGCAGCTGCGCCAGGCCCGGGGCCGCCTTCCTCCACATCCGTGGCTTCTTCTGCTGCTTCCTTTGCTTCTTGCTGTTGCTTTGGCTGCGGAGGGGGCCCAGACTTGGCTCCTGACCGTCCACCCGGGCCCAGCCTGGCACACGGCTCCGCATACACGAAGGTGCCCTCCTCAGGCCCACTCCTGTAAGCCCCAGGGAGCAGGGTGCTGGAGCACTGCCGACACCTGCCAGGGAGAATGGGGACAGGGTATCTGACCTGGCTCGGCAGCCCGGCCCAAGGCGCTGGCTACCCCGCCTCCAGCAGCCAAGGCTGTTACCTCCCTCCCGTCCTTCCACCTGCCAGCCTGGATTCTGTCTCAATACTCTGGACTTCCCAGAGGAAAAGGCAAATGGCAACTGTCAGGATCATAGTAGAATAAAACCACATGAAATCAGCAACATAAATTGTGAAACATGCCTTTAGTTTATGCTGCAAGAGGAAGCAAAGATGTCACCCCCAAGAAGTGCCATCCAGTGTGCAGGCTGCCACTCATTAGTGACTCAGGAAATCAATTCAGCAGTTTTCAACCAATCAGGGTTTGTTTTTTGTTTTTTGTTTTTTAATGGAATAGAATAAAATTAAATTAAATGTCAGAGTATATCACACTTGTTTCATGAAACTCTAATTCCAGTTGCGCATCTATTTATACAAGTTTTATTTCAGGTATATATTTACAACCGGTCAGTGTCAAATGGATTTCTTACTGGGGGTCATATAAAAAATTTTTAAAACGCTGCCCTAGTGGACAGATATGCCGGTGCCAGTGTAATGGTTCCCCTCCCTGAGCTTTTTCCCCCAGGACACTGCAGATCTGCAGTCAGGTCCCTGGGTTCTAGGTCCAGCCACACCCCGCCCCTGCCCCGCCCCCCCGCATGCACCTGGCAACTCTCAGTCGCCAGCTCCCCTCGACTTCTCGATTTTCTTTTCTCTCTTTTTATAACATATAAAACGTTTTCATACATTTTCTAAGTTATTTGTATCTTCCTGGCCTCTTACTCCACTTTCTTTAAACCTGGCTTCCCTTGGGAGCCATACAAGAAAAGCGAGTTGTTACTATGATTCTTTTTTAATCCTTTTTTTTTCCAGTGGCATTTAAAGCCTATTTTGCTCCTCATACATCATCAGGTAGTTTGCCTCAAAGAGCGCTGGCACTGAAGGCAGAACTCCTGAGTCCAGCCCACTTCTGTCTCTAATTATGTGACTAAGCAAGTCTCGTGCCCTCACTAGGTCTCAGTTTGCTCCTCAGTGAAATGGGGATAAGCAGGATGCTCCAGCATGAAGAGCCTGCCAAGGGGCCTGGCACATGGTGGTGCTGAATCCACGGACGCTCCCTCCCTGGTACTAGAGTGCTAGGGGTGAGGCCCCTGCCCCCAGGCTCCCCCAGCCACTCACCGGAAGCAGTGCCGGTGGTACAGCTTGCCCTCGGCCAGGTAACGCTGCACCAGGTGCACGTGCTGCTGGCAGGCCGCGCAGGTGCTGCTGGGGGCTCGGTGGGCACCCCGCTCTGACAGGCAGCTGGAGGAGAGCTCCTCACCCTGCAGTGAATGGGGTGAGCAGGTTGGGGGTGGGGCATGGTCACCAGCCTTCCTGCTCCCCACCTCTGATGGCTGTTGTCCCCCAAGTGCGCCTGAGCTTCACAGTGCTAATGCAGTTCATCAGAGCCCCAGAGGGGCAGAGGGTGGTAGAGTGTCACTGTTTCACAGACGAGGACACTAAAGCCCAGAAATGGGGAAAGACTTGCTCAAGGTCACTGAGTCAGGACAGACACATAGAAGTCCTGTCTTCAGTTTGTGGGGCCTCCCCCCCAGCCCCAGAAAGGCAGCTACTGGCTGTAGAACGTCTTCCCCTCGGCTGCTCTTGCCCCTCTCCTGTCCCTGCAGGTTGGCCCCCAGCAGGTGACTGTCCTCTCAGGCTCACCTCACCTGCCTTCTCTGCCTCCCCTCCTGGAGCCCAGCAGGTTTAAGTCCCGGTTTCTCTACTTCTAAGCACCGTGACCTTGAGCAAGCGGTTGGTGTCTCTGAGCCTTGAGTTCCCACCTGCAAACTGGAATCCTGTCCCCTGCCTGCCTCAGCACCGCACCTGCTCACTGGGCACCAACCCTGGGCCCGGTGCCTCCGACAAGGAGCAGATGGAAGCAGGTGGGAGAGTCGTTTGCACACTGTGAAGTGCTATCCGGATGTGAAGGGCTGGTGTCATCCCTCTAAGCACCTTGGAGCAGGCTACTGGCTGCGTGACCCCCACTTCCCAGCTGAGAGACCTTGGGCAAATGACCAAGCCTGAGCCTCAGTCTTCTCATCTGTGTATCAGGACACATGATACTGACCTCCACGGCTTGTCGAGAGGATTAAGCAAACACCACGGGAAGTCAAAATCTCTGTCTTGACAGGAATTGAGGGAGCATTGACCATATTGTTAGATCCTGTCAGTCCCAGGATGGCAAAGCCAGTGTTGTGGACTGCCCCATGCCCCCTCCCCAGGCCTGGCGTCTTCTGACGCTGCCTCCTACCCTGACCTGTGATTCTACTTCCAAAGCCAACAGGAAAAGGAAAGAGCGCCCTGTGAACTCTGCAATGGCAGTTGTCCCCCAATGCCACCCTCTCCACCCGCACCCAACCCGCCCACCGTGGATATCTGCCTACCTGAGCCCTATAACCTGGTTCCACTGGAGGAGATGCTTCGGATGGTGGGGAGGAGGGTGCCAGACCCTTTCTGGCTGGTGAGACACCAGCTGCCAAGAGACAAGAAAGAGACACTGAGGCAGGTGGAAACCCTGGAGTCGCGGGAAGCCCCAGTCTGGCCTGAGATTTGAGGTCCACAGGCATCACCTTTGGTCCCAATGCAGTGAGACCAGAGCAGCCTCCCTCTTCACACAGGCCAGGGGACACCTCCAGTTCCAGGCCGAGTGCTGAGCCCAAGCTACTGAACCCCACTGAGCCGCTGCAAAGTGGGACAGTGACTCCTCCTGCTCAGGGCAGTGCGAACAATGAAGCGACAGCACAATCACAGAAGTCGCGGCACCCGGTAGGTGACGGGACGGGTAGCTTCCCTCCCCCCTGGGTAAGGAGGCCGAAGGGAACCAGACGGTGGCGGCCTGAGGGTTCAGGAAAATGGGCTGGCTCTCTGGGCCGACAAGGAGCTGCCCTGCCTCTGCCCACATGGGCAGGTGCAGCCCAGAACCCTGCCTGCCCGCCCTCGAATAAGAAGAAACCCTCCCATCCCCCCGCATCGGCCTCCTCCAGCACTCCACCCCTTCATTATTTCAGCAAATATTCAGTGAGCATCCACTCTGTACCCAGTGATTAAAATAAAACCCCCAAATCCACGAACTGTATACCAAAAAAAAAAAAGGCATTTTACTGTATAATTTAAAAAATAAAACCCAAGTTCCTTACTGTGGTCTAAAACAGCATTTACCAAACTTCAGGTCACAATCCACTAATGGACCCTGAAATCAATTTGGTGAACTGCAACCAGCACATTTAAAAAGTGGAATAGAACAGAGCTGCGTGCATCACACGTCGTGAGGGGAAGAGTCATTTCCTGAAACTTGTTTCAGTGACACACATGTGCATGAACTGAGATTGTGCTGTGAAATGTATTTCTTACCAAGAGTCATGTTCAAAAATTTGGGAAGCCCAGCAGCCTAATCATGTCCCAGTCCCTATGGCCCCCTCTGTCCTCATCTCCTCCTTCCCCGCCACCTACTGAAGCACACGGGCCCCCTGCTGCCCCCTTGCCTGGAACATTCCTCCCCAGATCTCCGCATGGCCTCCCTCTTCTCCTTGTTCAAGGCTTAGCTTAAATGTCACCTCCTCAGGGAGGCCCTCCCTAACCACTCATCTAAAGCAGCCACTTCCTCCTCCCATTGCTCTCCATTCCATTACCTAATTTTCCTTCCTTATTAAACTCTCCTGAAATTATATTACTTATTACTTTGTTCTCTCTTCTCATCCCCCATCCATTAGACTGCAGGCTCTGTGAGTCTGTCTTGTTCTCAGCCCTCTGCCTAGCACAGTGCCTAGCACACAGTAGGGCTCAATGAATATCTGTTAAATGAATGAATAAGTACCAACTGCTGGAGCCGCATAGATGTAAAATAGGCAAAGACGGTCTGCAGGAGAAGAGAGAGGAACAATCAAGATATTATCACCAGAATCTTATGTTCACCAGGGGGCAGGGGGCTACAAGAGCATCTGGAGTGTATCAGGGCAGGCTGCTTGGAGGAGGCAAGATGGAAGGTTAGAGGATGAGTGAGAAAGAATGTGCTAGGGTGAGAGAGGAAGAACAGAAAGCGGAGTTTGGGGCTGGAGGATGAGGAAGGCTCAGC